GAATGAGTAAGAGTGGGAGAACCTAAACATTATTTGGGGCTTTTGTTTGAAATCCGCCCCCCCCCAACATACACCGCAATCCCCACAAAGGCTATGAAGGTGAGGACTGATTGTGAGGAGGAAGTTTTTCTCCTTTCTTTCATATTTAGTGAATCTATTAGGTTAAAGGTAGTGGTCTAGGGTCTTGGGATACTGAAAACTATTTCAAAAAGACTAAGGGTTTTTAAATTAAGAGCTGTACCTTTTTCCAGCCTGTCTTCACCAGAGAGTGCAGCAGAGATATCAAGCAGTAATGCTCCTGAAGGTTTCAAAAGATGGATTTGAGAAACTCCTAGAACTCCTCTTAGGCTAGGGTTCTAACTTTGAAGTGGAAGTGACTTGCTGCTGTTGAACACATCTACCACTAAAGTGTGAGGCAGTGTCTGTCCTGTGTGCTTGGAGGTTCTTGGGGTTTCTGCCACCTCAGTATTCAGGCCCCCCAGACTCCCAGGATCATGCTTGTGAATCTTCTCAATCAGGGTTGGCAGAGGTGAAAAACAAGTGTCATCAAAACTGCAGGTTTTTCCAGATGCGGACCTGCTCACAAACCTTAGGGCCGTGCACTTGCCGTACGTAGCTTGTTCACATAAAGCTGGGAATTGAATGCAGGCATGTCTCCATTCAGCGCCAGACTAGCACACCACCCCAGCCCGAGCTGCTGCCCTCTGGCCTGGGCTCTGAACAGCCTTCTCACGGACCTCCTTCCTCCCACCATTGCTCTTTCCAGTTCATCTTCACTCAGTAGCCAGAGTTCATTTTTAGAACCAAATCACACCTTCCCACTTGAAAGCCCTCAGGGAATGTGTGGCTACACAAATTGCAGTATATTCATGCCAAAGAATACTTCCTAACATTAAAATGTTAGAAACTGCTGATTCATTCAAAAACACTGGTGAATCTCAAAAATATTATGTGCAAAAGAAGCCAGACACAAAGGAGTACTTACTATCTGGTTCCATTTATATGAAATTAGAAAAGAATTTAGTTGCTTGAGGCCAGGGAGGGAAAGCAGATGTAGAGGTCTTGATGGGAGAGATGCAAGGGAGCATTTTGGAGTAGTGGAAAATTCTAAATAGATGGTTGTGATGTTTATATGGACATACCCATTTGTGAAATCTCTTGAATTGCACACTTAAGTGGACCCATTTTGTATGCAAGTGGTACCTCAAAGCTAAAAAAAAAAAAAAACCCCTAAGCTTGTTAATGGTATCCATTGCAGTTAGAATAACATAAAAACTGATGGCTTACCAGAAAAAAAAAATGCTAAAAAGGTGTTTGTAAAAATTCAGTTGCCTTTTCTAATTAAAACATTCTCTGAAATCAGAAATAAAATTAAACTAAATTGATTAAAAACCTACTTACTGAAAACGAATAACAAACATAATTTTAAAGGAAATGCTATGAAAATTTACCTTAAAGTAGGAACAAATGAATTCTATAAAAGGACCATTATTATCAATCATTGTTTTAGAGGATCAAAAAGTCCAAAAAAAGGAAAAAGTTGGTTTAAATATTTTAAAAAGAAAACATTTTCTCTTTTTCTATTTATAATTGTGTCCCTAGAAAACCCAGAAGATACTACTAAAAATTTCTAGGCTTAATAAAAGCACATTTGGCAAGGTGGCTGAATTCAACAAGATAAGCATGCAAAGTTAGTGTCTCTTTTTTTTGTTAGTAAGAGCCAGCTTGAGATGAAGATGGAAAAAAGCCAACCCTGTTCATATTAACTGTAGTATCTTGTAAAATGGTGGGGAGAAATTTAATAGGGAAGATATAGAACCTATATGATTCTGTAAACTGTAAAATCTTGTCGAGGATAAAGAAGTAAGATGTGAAGAGATGGAGACACACAGCAGTTATTGTTTGGGGACTCAAAAGGGTAGGAGTGCCAGTCTTTCCCAAATTGATACACAGATTTTATGTCCCATCAGTTAGATTCACAAGGTCTACTACCTTAAGTGATTAAAAAGTTTATATGTGTTCATAAATTTCTGAGAATAGCCAAGAAAATTATGAAAAATGATAAAGAAAAAATTGGCCTTTTGGGCGCCTGGGTGGCTCCGTTGGTTAAGCGACTGCCTTCGGCTCCGGTCATGATCCTGGAGTCCCGGGATCGAGTCCCGCATCGGGCTCCCTGCTCAGCAGGGAGTCTGCTTCTCCCTCTGACCCTCTTCCCTCTTGTGCTTTCTATCTCTCATTCTCTCTCTCTCTCTCAAATAAATAAATAAAATCTTTAAAAAAAAAAAAGAAAAATTGGCCTTTTGTGTATTAAAACGTATTGCTGAGCCTCTCTATCTAAACAATATGATATAAAGTATGAGAATGGAAGTACTTGAAAACAGAAAACAAGAAATGAATAAATATGTCAATGTAATGGAGTAGGGAGCTCATAAACAGAAATTAGTATATGTGGGAATTTTGCCTCTTTTTATGAAATCTTAGCCCCTTAATTTATGCCAAATACAAAAACGAATCCCAGATAAAGAATAATTATAAAACATAAAACACAGAAACAATTAGAATAAAATTGAGGAGTCTAGTCACTACCTAGGGATTGAAGTGATCTTTTTTTAAACATTTTATTTATTAGATGGCAAGAATGAGCGTGGGGGTGGGCGGAAGGAGGAGAAGCAGACTCCCTGCTGAGCAGGTAGGCCAACACAGGGCTCGATTCCAGAACTCTGAGATCATGACCTGAGCTGAAGGCAGATGTGTATCCAGCTGAGTCACCCAGGCACCCCTGAAGTGATCTTTTAAAAGAATACCAAGGGGCGCCTGGGTGGCTCAGTCGTTAAGCGTCTGCCTTCGGCTCAGGTCATGATCCCAGGGTCCTGGGATCGAGCCCCGCATCGGGCTCCCTGCTCCGCGGGAAGCCTGCTTCTCCCTCTCCCACTCCCCCTGCTTGGGTTCCCTCTCTCGCTGTGTCTCTCTCTGTCAAATAAATAAATAAAATCTTAAAAAAAAAAAAAAAAAGAATACCAAAAAAAAATTTTTTTTTTTTTTGAGAGAGGGCATATGCATGTGAATGGGGGTAGGAGGGCTGGGAGGGGGCAGCAGGGGGGCGAGAGGGAGAGGGAGAGAATCCTAAGCAGTCTCTGCCCAGCATGGAGCTTGATCTCAGGACTCTGCGATCACGACCTGAGCCGAAATCAGGAGTCCAGCGCTTAACCGACTGAGCCACCCAAGAGTCCCTCAAAAAGATTTCTAATGAAAACTAATGATATGATAGTGTTATGTAAAATGTTGTGTCTCTTTGGCAAAATGCTAAGCGCTAATTTAGCATTTTTAAAAAATTTTAATTGGCCCATAAACTTGAAATTGAAAGCTGTTGTGAAAAAAAAATAGTTTTCTTTTTAAAATTAATACTGTGTGGTCAGTGTCCATTAAATGAAATGGCTAAAATGTGGATTTTTTTTTTTTTTTTTTTTTTTTTATTTCATATGTCGATTGCAAATTGTTGAAATTTCACATTTGGGCTTTTTGTAATTTAAAAAAAATTACTGTATATTATACCTTGGAACCTAAAACCATAGCAGATATATTTTTTAAAAACTAAAATAAGTTTTTAAATATATACTGTTAATATGCTATAAGCATAGTCTGATAATATCTTGTATTGAGCCATAGTATGATTATATAACCCCTAGTCACAGACTACCCCCACATGGTTCTGATATTAGACAAAGCCCTTTACATTTTAATGTCTGTCATTTCATAATTTGTAAATGTTACCGTTGTTAGAAAAGAACTAAAAAAAAAAAAAAACCTATCCTTCCATTTTTTTGTGTGTGCAAAAGAAAGTGATTATGATGATGAAAATCATATCTCTTATTAGAGATGGTATGAGAAATACATCTTGTGTGAAGAACTTTGAAGGGACTATATAGGTGGTTAGCCTGGAGAATTGGAGGTTTATTAATAAGGAATAAGGCAGCTGTCATCAGTTTGGCCCAGTTGAGCCCTAGGCACTGATTTGTATTTATTTGTTGACTGTGTCTAGCACAGAAGGGGCACTTTTGTAGTTGGTAGAGCACACCATATATTAACACTCTGATCTTCATCTCAAACCCAAGATTCAGTCAGAGCCCCTTTCTGCCTTGGACCAGCTTTCGGGTCCAAAGGGGTAGGCTGGATTTGAATCTATTCTAGTGAGAACAACATTTGGAACATGTATTACCAGACATCAGGACCAGCTGGGCCAGAGATTTCAGCAGGGCAAAAACCAGAGGGCATAGTAATGAAGAACAATAACATTCAGAAGGAGTCCAGAGTCAGAGCCAAGGTGGACGTGTCACCGGCATGAGGCCGTAAGAGGACAACAGGAATCAAGGCCCCTCTGATTTGAGATCAGGAGTAGCCTTATGCTAGAACCCATTATCGTAAGATTAGTTATGGTGGGCAGGGTGTCTGATTGCAGTCTATATCCTTCAAGATTGGTAATGTGCAAGTGTGAGAAAGAATAGAATTAGAAGAATAGAATTATTTGGTGTTACTTCAGATTGGAAAAGTTGGGTGGAAGTAACAAACAGTCTGACTCAGTATGAGAAGTAACAGTCAAATGATTTAGAAATCTTTGAAATCAGAGTTTTCAGTTTGTAAGTGTTGGAGTTTGATAGATCCTAGTTTGATAGTTTGACAGATGGTTATCTGTCAAACAGTACTGTAGAAGAGACATTCATACTGCACGGAGGATGGAGTAGATCATCACTTTTTTTTTGTTTGTTTGTTTGTTTTAGAGAGCATGTGCATGCAAGCGTGGGGGGGTTGGAGGGGCAGGGGCAGAGGGAGAATCCTAAGCAGGCTCCATGCCTGACTTGGGCTCGATTATGAAAGTAGTTTTGACCTTACCGGCCCCCAAAGGCTCTTGGGGACTTCCAGTAGTCCCCAGGCTACACTTTGAGAATTGCCTTTTTTTTTTTTTTTTTTTTTTTTTTTTTACTCCAGTCAATGAAAGGAAAACTTTATTGGGCCTTGGGGCTCGAGCAGGAGGCCGCCCTGTGGGCAAAGGGAGAGCCACTGGAGGCGCCTTTTTTTTTGGGGTGCGGGTTGTTGGTGTGGCCGCACTTCTTGCGGCAGTTGACAGGGCGGAGGTGCAGCCGAGCATAGCACTGGCGGCAGATCATCTTGTGGCAGTTGTATTTCTGGGCCAGCTGGCGGAGGGAAGGCTCGATGATGCCACCCCGGAGGCGAAGCACAAGTGCAGGGTGGACTCTTTCGGACATTATAGTCTGACAGAGTACGGCCGTCTTCCAGCCGTTTGCCCGCAAAAATCAGACACCACTGGTCAGGCGGGATGCCCTCCTGGTCTTGGATTTTGGCTTTGACATTCTCAGTGGTGTCACCGGGCTCGACCTTGAGGGTGATGCTCTTGCCCGTCAGGGTCTTCACAAAGATCTGCATCTCTGCGTCTGCTGGCGCGAATCCGCAAGGCCGCCGCCACCAAACCGCTCTGCCACCTCGTTGAAGAGAAAAGAGGGCGGCGGCGCCGAGAATTGCGCTTACAGACTGTTTTGAGAAGACTGAGACCAGAGTTTTGTAATCCTCATATGGGGTAATTATGGGATCATATGAGATGTTTTCATCACTACTTAAGTGTTGGGGACAATCAGGAACTTCTCAAAGCCTGTAAGAGTGTGATTTAATCAGGCCATTCTATTACTGAATTTCCAGAACTAGGTGATAGATCCCACCTGGGTTTTTTTGTCTTATTTGAGCAGTCTTGCTCCCTCGCCTCCGCACTGCATGCCCAGTGCCTAGTACGATACTGGCTCCATAATAGATGTTTGATAAAATATTGATTTGCCTGACTAATAGTTCTGTAAGATAGAAGTACTGGTTATTAACATGATGTATGTGATTGATCGATTGATTTCCCTTAGGACACAAGTTAACAGAGAGTGAGAGAAACCAATTATTGGCCATAGCATCATCATTGTTCGTGGCATTCCAATTAAGAGCACAACATTTTCAAGAACATGGAAATTCGAGGTATGTTAGATCATTTAAAACAGCATAAATGAGAGGAAAAACACTGATAATCTAATCAGAATAGGAAATAGGTAATAAAAGATGACTGATCTTAGTTTTGAATCTTGTGTTTGGAGAAGCATAATACAATCACACTGTTTAAAAATGATATTGTTTCTATTTTTTCAAATGATTTTTTTTAATTCAGAAAAAAAGGATCTTGGCCCCTTTAATTTGGACATTATTAGAGGTAAGAAGATATTCTGAAACCTTATGGAATATCTGTTTAAGCAATTTGTATTTATTCTGTTTTATAACTTTGTTAATCTTGAACAAAGTTTTAAAAAGTGTTAGAGTACAAAAAGTTAGGATTGACTCTGAGCAGTTAGAATAAATATATACATATATATATAAAACTCATAGGCTACCAGACGGAATTAACACCAGTTAAGTTAGTTATTTGTGAGCCCTAAGTATCCTTTTTAGCTTCCTAGTAATGTCTAAATGAAAGAAAAAACCTGCTTTATACCAGAGCAAGCAGAAACACAGTCAGCATGGCATTAATACTCTACATGACAGGCTAACTTATTATATATGTCTGTGTCCTTGCTGGCTTAATCCTGCTTTAGCAAGTACAGTCTATTTATTACTTGCTAGAGTGATGTTGTTGATAAAATTGTGTCACTTCAACTTCTTTTCCGTTCTTTTTGCTTTTCCACAAGAGGAAGAACAAAGATAAAAAGAAACAAAGATGGCAGGTGACTGAGCAGCTCTGAAGAACACAGATCAGAAACTCAGATTACCCTTGAAGAATTAGGTAGAGGAAAAGTAAATTGGGTTTGGGCTATATCTTAATGGCTAGCTAACTGGTTTTACTCAGAAAATCTTGGAGTAATTGGTACTCTTCGTTTGTTCTTATTCTCAAGAGAATGTATAGGAAGCTTAATGTATGAGGTTTTTTTTTTCCACTTTTTGTTTTATTGAAGTATAGCTGACACAATGTTACCTCGGTTTCCAGTGTATAACGTAGTGATTTGACAGACAGATCTTTACTTTGTGTGATGCTCACCATAAACGTAGTTACCATCTGTCATCATATAACACTGTTAGAGTACCACTGACTATAATTCATCTGCTGTACCAGTCATATGGACTTACTCATTCCATAACTGGAAACCTGTACCTCCTCCTCCCCTTCGCCCATTTTGCCCCTGCCCCCTCCTCCAACCCCTTCCCTCTGGCAGTCATCAGTTCTCTATATTTATGGGTCTGTTTCTGCTGTTTGTTTTCAGTTTTAGATTCCATACATAAGTGAAATCACTGGTATTTGCCTTGCTTTGTCTGACTTATTTAACTTAGCATAATCCCTTCTAGGTCCATGCATGTTATTGCAGATGGCAAGATCTCATTCTTTTTTATGGCCGAGTAATGTTCACTCTCTCCCTCTCTCCCTCCCCCTGCCCATCTCTCTATGTATATAAATGAAGGAAATGGTCATTGTAAATAATGCTGCCATAAGTATAAGGGGTTCATACATCTTTTTGAATTAGTGTTTTCATTTCCCTTGGGTAAATACCCATTAGTGGAATAATAATATCCTTTTTTAAGTTATGATTTGATAGATGTCTAGGGAGAGATGACAGATTATAGAATATCAGTAAATTACTGAATGACTGGAAGGAGGAGGAGAATGGGCAATAAAGACATGAATCTGGTTGGTTTTTTCCCCCTAAAGTTGTGCTGACCAGTGTAGTAGCGACTGGCCATGTGTGCTTACTTTAATTAAAATTTCAGTTTCTCAGGCATGTTCAGTGCCACTGTATAGTCACCAGCCATTGCCTTATGGTGGTTAGTGGCTACTGAATTGAGTAGTAGAAAGAACCTTCCGTCAAACTCTGTTGGGACAGGGATGTTTAGGAGGTACGTGTGTCTGGCTTTTGTTTTAAAACCAGAATCATACCTTGTATTTTTTATTCTTTTGATAAATAAAGTATTCATATCTTGATTACCTTCAGATGTTATTTGGACCTTGATCATTTCTGAAGTCCTGAGTGTAGCTGATGATGAACTGGTTTGATCTTTAAGAAATGTATTCAGGTCATTTTCAGAGAGTGCTGACTTGCCACTGGGAAGAATCTGAAAAAGGTTTAAAAAGGAAAAGAATAAAAGTTACCTGTAATCCCACAAACTCTTCAGTAAGCACTTTTTCACATTTTGATATATTCCCTTCTAAGTGTATATGTGTGTGTATATTTATAGAGATACATACATGCAGCATATATAAACCTTACATAGAGTCATACTGAGAATATAGTTTGAATTCTATTTTTTTAATTGTAGTATTATGTTGCAAATATCTTTTATTCCCTAGTCTTTAGAAGCATATTTTAAATTTTCATTACACAATTTAAAACATGGCAAACTTTTGCTCTTCAAAAGATACCCGAGAGAATTATAAAACAGTATAGCAAATGACAGAATGTATTCAGAGATATATAGACATATATAAATAAATATATATATAAGGGGCTTGAGTCTGTAATGTATAAATAATTTTTAAAACTCAAACATAAGCCAGACACCCTAATAAAAAAATAGAAGATCTTTATTAAAGAAGTTATATGAGTGTGACAAATTCATGAAAAAGTTTTTCAGCATTGTCAGGGGAAATACAAATTAAAATCACAGTGCTACACTAACACACAGCAACTAGAATGTACATTAAGTGGTAAGTGGATAAATAATTGTGATATATCTGTATAATGGAATACTATTTAGCAGTAAAATAGAAAGAAGTACTGATACCTGCATCACCATGCAAAAATCTGAAAAGTAAGTCATGCTGAGAGAGAGAAACCAGTTCAAGAAGACTATATAATCTGTAATTTTATTTGAAATTTCTGGTAAAGGCAAAAGTATAGAGACAGGAAGAACATCAGTGGTTCCCTAGGTGCAAGTGGTGATGTCACAGAATTACAGCTTTATACATTCTGTGCCCCAAACCATAAACCAATAATTATCTCAAATGAATTAGTTTCTTAAATTATGTAGAAAACAAAATGTGCCTATGAAACCAAAGTTAAAAAAAAGTAGCCTTTATAATAGTTCATGTGTTTACCTTTACTGAGGTACTCATTTATTCATGTGGCTTCCTGGGACTGTCTAGTGTCCTTTCATTTCAACCTTGCAAGACTGCTGCCTGTACCATTTATTGTAGGGCAGGTCTGGTGGTCACAGACTGCCTCAGCTTTCGTTTATCTGGGAATGTCTTAATTTCCAGTTTTAATGTCTTAATCTAGTTTTGTTGTTAGGATTCTTGGTTGACTGTTTATTTTGGTTTCTTTTTTTCCTTTTAACACTTTGAGTATATCAGCCTACTGCCTCTGGCCTCCATAGTTTCTGATGAAAATCTGACAATCTATTGAGAATCCCTTGTATGTGATGATTTGCTTCTCTCTTGATACTTTCAAGATTTTCGCTTTCTCTTTGGCTTTTGAAAGTAATGTGTCTTGGTGTGGGTCTTGGAGTTCATCTGACTTGGAGTCCATCGAGTCACTGTTGGTGGGAATGCAAGCTGGTGCAGCCATTCTTGAGGTTTTTTTTTTTTTTTTAACATATATTTATTTATATATGAAAGAGAGGAGGGAGAGCATGAATGGAAGTGGCAGAGGAAGAGAGAATCTGAAGCAGACTGCATGCTGAGCATAGAGCCTGACACAGGGCTTGATCTCAAGAACCTGAGATCATGACCTGAGCCAAAACCAGGAGTTGGCCGGTTAACCAACTGCACCACCCAAGTGCCCCAAGCTTCTTGAATGTTTATATTCATACCTGTCATCAAATTTGGGAAGTTTTCAGCCATTATTCAAATATTTTCTCTACCCCCTTCTCTCTCTCTCTCTCTCTCTCTCGCTCTCTCTCGCTCTCTCTCGCTCTCTCTCTCTCTCTCTCTCTCTCTTTCTTTCTGGGATTCCCATGATGCGTACATTGGTTGGCTTTCTCGTATCCCACAGGATCCTTAGGCTCTGTTCATCTTTCTTCAAACTTTATTCTTTATACTCGAGAATTTTTCTTGTCTTGTCTTCAAGTTGGCTGATTCTTCTGCCTGCTCAAATCTGTCTTTGAAGCCTTCTAGTGAGTTTTTCATTTCAATTATTGTACTGTTTAGCTCTAGAATTTTTTAATTTCCTTCTAGGTTTTTAATCTCTGTTATTTTCATTTTGTTTACATATTGTTTTCTTGACTTTCTCCATATCTTTCTTTAGTTTTTTTGAGCATTTTTTTTGAGATTTTATTTATTTATTTGACACAGAGAGAGAGAGCGAGAGTGAGAGATAGAGTGCACGAGGAGGGGGAATAGCAGGCAGGGGGAGAGGGAGAAGCAGGCTCCCTACTAAGCGAGGAGCCTGACCTGGGGCTCGATCCCAGGACCCTGGGATCATGACCTGAGCTGAAGGCAGACACTTAATGGACTGAACCACCCAGGCGCCCCGAGTTTTTTGAGCATCTTTAAGAGAGAGTTGTTTTAATGTTTTTGTCTACTATATCTACCAGTAAGTCTCTTTCATGGTCATATTTTGCTAATCTTTTTTCCTTGAGAAGGCCATACTTTTCTGTTCCTGTTTCTATATATGATTTGTGATTTTTTGTTGTTGAACGCTGGACATTTGAATCTAATAATGTGGTGACTCTGGAAATCAGATTCTCCTCCTTCCCTAGGGTTTACTCTTGTTGTTGTTGTTGTTGTTGTTGTTATTTCTGCGTATTTGTTGGGGGCTGTCTCTTGCCAAGGATCAGCCTGAGGTATAAATGTAAGGTCTTCTCAGGTATTTTCTGAGCATTTCCCTGTGCATGTGTGTTCACTCTCCAGTTTTCCTCATAAATGCAGCCATTTTTGTTTTGAATGTCTTAGTCTTTAATATCTGGCTTCTGAAAGGGGAAAAAAGCAAAAAATGAAGGAAAATGGGGGAACTGACCCTTTAAATCCCCTGGAAGTCACTTCAGCCCGAGGGAGTGGGGCT